CTGGCTCCGAGTCCTGCCCTCTCTAATCATCAGCCCGGGGGAGTGGTTCCTGTGTTGGACTCTAGATTCCTCACCTTATCTCTAAGGCCACATTCCGACACTAAAGTTTTAGGGCCCCGATCAGGACCAGCTGGAGTTAATGCGGGGGACAAGAGATATCTGGGGTCGGCACAGAGTTTGCTTCACTGAGTGGCATGGGGTCAGGATGGTCCTCTAACACCTGATAATTAAAGGGTGCAAGGTAAGAAGGGAATCAAGGAAAAGACAATTGTTAGTGTTTCTTCTCACGATTGCAGAGCCAGATCCTTGGCGGGATCCTGTCACAGAAATGTAGACGCGTGGTAACCCCTGACCACAGGTTAAGTCCAGGGTAAATGCTGATTATTCTGATGAAAATATAAAAAAAAAAAAGCTTGAAATAATGATACACATACCCTTGACACGTATATAATGTAAATCAGTGATACTCAGATTACTGCTCTCAAGCCACATGAGGCCCTTTTGTGGGTAACCTGAAGCTCTCATAAGCCCTCAAATGTCCGTATTTCAATAATCCACTATCCTAGACTCTGCAGGGCATATAGCAGTCATGCGGCTCCATCAGCTAATGATGATTGCAAAAGTGGCTCCCGAGTCACATAACTGAACACCACTGGTGTAAATATTTAATCCTGCTTATCTATGTGGAAATTCAATGTTTTGGTTCTACCGTCTGTCTGTCTTTGATACGCTCATCCACATAAATGTCTGTCTTAGACTGCAAGCTTTAGAGGGCTGGGAGTGCACTTAAATTGCCTTAATGGCACGATACAGAGATTCCCATATGGATAGATACTTAATAAATGCATTTTTTTTTATCTTGAGGAGGAAAAAGAAAGAAGAAATTTCTGACTTTATCTCTTTCTCTATGGCTTCTCTCTCTCTAATGACTGGCCTTCTATCAGATTCAACATTGAAACTGGAAAACGGGCCCGTCCCTTGGAGCAGCGCATCTCTGCTGGTGACCATGGGCTCCTGGCAGCAGTGATAGTTTTGCCGGTGGTGACTTTACAAGCAATGCTTGTTGCCACTCAGAGGGAGAGGGAGGCCTCCACATTACCCTAGTCTTTACCCAGGAGGAGCAGGGCTTGGAGGCCAAGACCCATGCGGCTGCCTGCTTTGGAAGTAGCACAAATGCAATGGTGCACAAGCACGCCCCTTGCTTGCTTCTCTTCTTTTTGGCACCAAAATAGCTCGAGTGTCATTTTCTTCTTTTCCCAAGGCTGTCTGTAACCAATCACGGAGGCAATGGCTAGTACTAAAATGACTGGAGATGGAGACAGAATGCAAGGCTGGGCTTTACACACCTCCTTAGCGGCACAGGCAGGCTGGATTGCATGAGTCTCCTCCTCTCCCCTTTCTGGAAACCCTTAGATGGCTCACAGCTAGGCCATGCCAACAACAGGAGGTCTGCAAACAATGCCTGATACCATTCTGTGAAGTATCTAGACTCAAGAGACTCACAAAAGACTCTCATTTGCCCTCAAGCTTTGAGCTTCACCGTTTCACCCACTGGTGACCTCCACATTGCTAAGCCCAATGACCAGCTTTGTGTGCTCACTCTGCTTGGCCTCAGGGCAGCATGGACCCTCCTTCACTTTTCCTCCTGTCTGTCTGGCCATACCTTTCTAAGTCTCCCTCGCTGGTTCTTCTTCATCACTCCTATCTCCAAACATCACTGGGGCCCAAGTTCTTAGGCTATGTCTCACTTCTGTCTACATTACGCCCTACTCTCACAGCTAGGTGAATGCTGACTCTGCGAATTATAATTCTGTCCCAGACTTTTCCTCAGACTCAGATTTATCCCAGTTGCTCACTCAACATCTCCACTTGGAAGTCTAATGGACATTTCAAACTTAAAGGTCCAAGATGGTTTTCCTGATACTCCTGCCCTAACATCTTTTCTTGTCATCCTCCTCCCTAAATCAGTAAATGATGATTCTACTCTTACGACTGTTGAGGACAATCGCCTTGGGGTCTCCCTGACTTCTCTCTCTCTCACACCCCATATCTGGTATGTCGGCAAATGATGCCATTCTGGAGCCTGACTGCACCACCCCATGTTACCAGGATAAAGCACAATCTCTTGAGTCAGTCAGTAGCCTCCTACCTGGCTCCCTGTCTCACCCTTGCTCGCCTTCACATGGCAGCTGCGGGGATCCTGCTAAACATGCGTAGGTCACGTCACTTCTTAGCTCGAAACCACCAGGGGCTTCTTGGCTCGCCTCTGGTAAAAGTCCAAATTCTTACAACGATTTTCATGATCTACTCCTTGGTTAACCTTGAACCTCATCTCCTAACACTGTCCCTGTTATTCACTCCTCCCTGGTCACATTAGCCTCCCTTCTGTTTCCAAGTCAGCCTCAAGGCCCTTCCATGAGCTAGTCCCTCTGCCCAGAATGGTCTTTTCCCAAATATCTATATGTTTCATTTCCTTATTGCCTTCAAGTCTTTATACCTTTTCTGTGAGGTATTTCCTGGCCACATCGCAACACTTCTGTCTCCCTCTCACCGTTTTATCTTTCTCCACAGTACTTGTTACTTTGTCACTCTCTGACATACTATTTAATTTATTGTCCGTCTTCCCACTAGAATATAATTTCTATGAGGGCAAGGAGGTTTGACTATTTTGTTCATTACTATATCCCCAGTGCCTAAAACAGTGTGTGGCACAGAGTTGCCCTTAATGGATGGATGGATGGAGGGAAGGAAGAAGGGAAGAATGAATGAACTAGAATATATTTTTGTATATAATTTTACTGGCCACATCATTTGCTCTAATTACTTAGAGAAATGCTTCCCCACTATGCCCTTTCTCTCTCTTGTCTTCCCAACCCCTTGTTCCTTCTACTTCCTCAGTGGTTTTGTAGCTTTTCCTAGAGAAAAAAAATGAGTCTTTGGGCCCCGTCTTGGTAATCCCAGCTACCACGGAATGTGCCAATGAACTTTTCCTGTGCTGGAGCCAACTCTGTCTCACCAGTGCATCTTATAAGTGCGGATGGGGATTCTGCCCGGAAGTTGCCAGAGCCATCGATGAAGAGTGATAATACCTTTTTTCCTTAAAAGACTACTTAATCTTTGAACTGAAAAGAACTGGCAAATACACTAAGCTGTAATCTTTTAGCAATTTCAAAGGCCAAGATATTACTTTAATTGAGACACACATGTAATTTGTAGCAGCACTTCTCCCCTTGTATTTGTTTTGAAGGGCAAACTATGAAGTTCTGAAGAAGAGAATATAGTTCCTAAGCCATAGACTTGCCTTTCTCGCAGATCTGTTAGGTTGCCAATTCCTTAATAATTTAATCACATCAACTCTGCTTGTAATTGGACTTCCCCAGTAGACAGTCCTTTGGACCCGTTTTCTGGCTCCATTCCTAAGTCTCTCACATTCACTTCATTGCAAGTGTTATTTTTTTACTCTCTGTATCTTGCTTTTTTGGATACTTATTCTCTTGCCCCATCCCCTAGAACTGTTCCACCATCATCCCCACAACTGAAGGAGCCAGGGTCCCATTCTATCCTCCTAGGACAGGTTGACTGAAGACAAGAAGCAGACCCAAAAGTGTCCTCTAGCCATGAGGTGAGAGGCACAACAGTCTCCAGAGTCCAATTTCATCCATATTTGAGCTTATGAAAATGTGGCAGAGACCCTGTCCATTGGGGTAGGCAGTTCAGTATGCTCTTCCCAAAACTTAGCCAGAAATGTGGGTACATGGGCCTTGTCAATGTGATCCGCTCTAGCAGCAGAGAATACTCCATTCTGGAAACTCCCTGGAATTTATTCACTTCATGGGCAAGGCAGGGAAGCAGCATACTTCTCCTTGGGAGCTCTTGCTTTAGCCAGAGAACAGAATAACTATATGTCTCTGTGGATGGCAATTAATTACTAAGCAAGTAGTGGATACTGCACATTTTTAATAACACGGTAAGAAGCATGCTCACCACCATTAATCAGGAGTTAGGGGCTCCACCTGACTTAAGGTGAAGAGAGGAGCCAAGATGACAATTCCTGTGCCTTAGAGGTAAGCTTCTCTGTCATTCACAGGCCAACTTATTTATTCACCATACCATTCAGTCCACAAACGAATCAACTACTCCACAGTACCATCAACAGTATAATACAAGCTGCCAGGCATTTTTCCAGAAAGACCCTCAATGGCATCATTGCTCATCGTTACAATCCATCAAAGGTGTTGTCTTCCAACTTGCAAAACTACTTAGTAGAGCATAAAGGTCTCCTTAGGTTATTAAATTATGTTGTTATGAGTCCCTTGTTGTTTGTGTGTTTTAATTTTGTATTTGCACCTTGAGCAGAGTTATCAGAAAGGGAACAGTTGATAGATGTATTAAATCAGTCTTTGAAATGAGGGAGCAGAGATTCTATTCTCTATTCACATCTTTGACTGTCTTCTTCCCTTTTCCCTCCACCTGCTCCTTCTCCCAGATTCCCAGTTAGAACTCAGTTACTAATGAGTAGAAACATACAGAAACTAACTGGGGAGTTTGAATACAATGGACATAATTAATGCCTGCTCATAAGGACAAGAAACTAGACTCACATATTTATATATATATATGTGTTAGGATATATATTCCTACCTTCCTACACCATAGGGATTTTAAAACTCTAATGGGAAGACCATAATCTGCCCCTTGCCCAAAGAGATGGAGCCTGGAGGAGGACATCCGATTAAAAAAAAAAAAAGTCCACCTTAGCAAAATCTCAACTGTCTTTTAGAATCTTTGGATCTAAAAGGAATATGAGGCTTTACAGATCAACAGCAATTATTTCACATCTGCGACTAATTTCTATGAGTAGCAATGACTGCAATCAATGCACTGAACGTTGTTCCGGGAAGACAAACTGTAAGGATAAGTTGGTGGTAGAAGGTCTCCCTGTTCTGGCCCCTGCCTCCTCCCTCTCCCAGAACCCAGCCCAAGACAGGATGGCTGCTCACTGTTTCGGGGCTTCTCCTCATCCATGCCTTCATCCTCATTCTCGGGGTCGATGTCCTCTGCCTGGGTGATCCAGTCCAGGTAGCCCTTCAGGTCCTCTTCCAGCTGCTGCTTCTCTCGAAGCTTCTGGAAATCTCCCCGAGCCTTGGCCTTCTCCCTTTCTTTGGAAAACTCTCTGGGGAGTGAGAGCAGAGGGGCAGGGCAGGGGAGTGCATGAGGAGGAGGAGGAGGAGGAGGAGGAGGGCCAGGTGGGTGAGAAGGAGAGATGGAGATAAGAGGAAACAAAGGGATTAATTTCTTCACACCAGGAGACCTGCCCACCTGCCCCTGCTTTCCACAGACAGCCTTCTCTCCTCATCCTAGGCTTTGTCTTTATTCTCACATAAACAGAAAGTCACCGAAGCGGACATTCTTGACACAGGCCACTGGAGTACAAAGGGATGGATGAAGTCCATTTCCCTTATTCTTGGACCATGGTCACAGCCTTTGCCTTTTAATAACAACTATTCTCCAGTGACCTGGAAACCCCTTTCAAACAGTCACTAAAAAACCTCCATGACAGTTATGGACTGTGCACTTTCATTTGCCCCCCCTCCGGAATTGGGTGGCCACTGGGAAACCTCAAAGCATCTCTGGGTGACAAAGGCATTAAGGGCCAGTGGTATGCTGAATCCCGCTCACCCACACTGGCTCCAGGGAGCCCACCGCGCACGGCTCTTTGTTGCTCTAGCTTCACTGGTGTCTCCTTGTGGCTTGAAATTGGCCATGGTGGGAATATTTACACCACGGAAATTGGCAAATGCTATCAAACTAGGGCTTTTTGATCCCCAAAGAGCTAATTGGTAAATATTTACCAGTACACCACTGATTTGAGGCCCAAGGAGATTCAACTACCTCAACCTCTCTTCTCATTACTAGAGTTTGTTTTGCCACTTTTAACATGCCTGGAAGGATTTCTAATCTAGAGAAAGCTCTTCCCCACAAGGAGACAAATGAGGACTCTAAACACAAGAAAATGTCCTGGGGCCTGCCCTTTTGGTTAAAAAAGAAATCTAATCAGACTGGAAAAATACATAAAAGCAAGATGATATAAAAGTTAAATGATGCATTCAGTTTAAAGTAATAATGAGTAGAAATTGGAATTGGATTGGGATTTGCTGGAAGAAGGGCCTGTTGAAAATTTTCTGACAGAATGGGTATTTCTTTCCTATTTTTTGATTTTGTCCTGATTTTCTCTCTGACTTCAAATTCACTTTCTGAGCAAGGAAGGGGGGCTGGCAGCAGAACATAATGACCAAGAAGGCTAGTTCTCAACTCTCAAAGCAAGTTTGTGTCTTTTCTTCCAAATTAGGTACATTAGGAGCATTTTGGTCTTTGATATTCAGTTTACGGGAAATGGGGCGCTCAGTGGTGTGTGTGTGCATGTGTGCGTATGTGTACGCATGCGCATGCGCATGCATGTATGAGAGAGAGTGGGACATGCCCTGGGCACCTTGATTAATTCACAGAGACGTGATTCCTCCTTCTCTTACCAGTACAGGCCTAGTTCAGGGCAGGAGGTTGTAGAAACCACCTTGAAGGATTTCTTGAGAGGCACCTTGGAAGGAAGGACACAGCAACAAACCACAGGTAGACAAAAGCTCCCGAATCCATTCAGTCATATTGGGGTGGCTCTATCAGCACCTCCACTATTTAGTATTTGCATTTTGCTTATGCTGCTTAGGAAAGCACAGATTTTTAGCATTCACCATTTTTATGGATAAAAAGGTGTTAGGACTGGGAGTGGTCTAGGGAATGTTTTAATTGGGAGATGTGGGGGCTCTCAAGCTAATGAGTTTTCCTCAACTGCTGTCTTAATGATGCTATGCTTTGGATGGAATTTTCTTCTTAAATTTGATTGAACCCAATTCTAATTGGATTGAACTTGCTCTTTCTCTGGCTTCCTGCCAACAGGCGGGTACCTTCATTTCCTTCCCAGGGAGTTTAATGCCAGGGAAAAGGGGCCAGATTGACAGCTTAAAAAATGAAGATGGAAGCTTTGCCTTGCTTTGTTCCCTCCCTCCTTTTGCTGTTGGGGATGAGCATGGATAGATCCCCTATATCTGGTCATACCACCTGGGCTGTAGACTCACTCTCTGGAGACAGTCACTTCATACGGCAGTTCCTTCCCCATGCAAACTGACTCCAACAACTGTGCTTCCATTTCTGCCCACATACATTTGCATTCTCCATTTCTTTTCTGTGGAGTGGGTTTGGGGTTGTAAGGGGACTGAATAGCAGAGGGTTCACTTTAGCTCTTTTGGATTATTTTGCAGAGGGCTTAAGTTCTAGTTACAAAACAATGACCCATCCTTCTTCTGGAGTCAGGAGAACAGGGTTGGGATCAAACTGGGATAGGAACATTTGACCCAGTCCTGTGTTACAGCATCTGCCCTGTGGAATGAAAGCTCATTATCCATACCCGAAGACTCTGGGGAACTAACATAAACATTTATAAGGAGAAAAGAAAATGAGGTTGTGTTGGGGTGTGAGGGGAATGGAGGCAGGGTCAGATCTGAAGCCCTGCTGGCTCTCATTGGCTCCCATGGAGTGAGGGGCATAACTCTGCTTGTGGCTGGATGGAAGGTGAGCCAAGTTTCTTTCTCCAGACTCCATGCAGTAAGGGATTTGCTGGGTGGTGGTATCTGGATCTCTTTATCTCCTCGCCTGCATGACAGCCATGTGCCTGCTCTGGGGTCTGAGCTAATGAAGACATGAAGCCCCAGCCTGATGGGCTGTGCTGGGCCCAGGGACCAGAGCTGGCTAGACAATCAGTCACAGCCATGGGATTTGTCATAAGGCAGGAGCACAGCTCTTGCCAGCAATGGCCAACATGAAAAATGAGGGGTGGAATGGAGAGCTGGGGGCCAGTGCTCAGTAATGTAAAGCATGCTGAGGGAGGTATATGTGGGAAATCCAATCAATACAGAAGGCTGGGGCTCTAGGCCCTCTGATGATCAATACAGTCGATTCTCATTATTCATAGATTCCGTATTTGCGAATTTGCTTACTTGCTAAAATTTATTTGTAACTCCCAAATTGATACTTGTGTGCCTTTGTGGTCATATGCAGACATGTGCAGCATGGCAAAAATCTGGAGTCACATGAGCAGCTGAGGTTAAACACGGCTACACTCTGCCTTCTTGTTTCAGCTCTCACACTGTAAACAAGTGTATTTTTTATTATCTCTTTAGTGCCATGTTTGTCACATTTCTGTGCTTTTTGTTGGTGGTTTTTCTGTTAAAAATAGCCCCCAAGCACAGTGCTGAAGTGCTGCCTAGTGTTCCTAAGTGCAAGAAGGTTGTGATGTGCCTTAGGGAAAAAGTACATGTGTTAGATAAACTCCGTTCAGGCATCAGTTATAGTGCTGTTGGCCATGAACTCAATGTTAATGAATCAACAATATATATTAAATAAGATGCCTTTAAACAGAAAAACACATAAAATAAAGTCGTGTATTGGTTGATTGACAAAAATACTGTGACTAGAAGCTCACAGGATCCTTGCATTTCCCCTGTATTTCTCCCAAGAGTCCAAGAGTAATGGCTTAGTATTCATTAATTCAGTGTTCATAGTGACCTCATAGAATATAACTACACAGATAATGAATACAACTATAGATGTTGCTGTCTATTCTGCTTCCACCTACAAAGAATGCAAGTCCTGGATCCTTCTGGGCCTAGACATTGTGTCTTTACTATAGTGCCATGGTCTATTTATGCTTTCAGGTTGCAAAATCCTTCCCCACCAAGCCCCTTGCTGTTTTGGGGAGAGAGACAAGCCCAAATCCTGGTGGGAAAGAGGACAGGATGACAATCCATCTAAGAGATCCTGAGTTCCTTGTCTACTGATGGCACATATCTGAAGTCCTCAGTTTGCAATCACTTAAAACAAAAAGTGACCAGATTCCAGAGTCCGGGGACTTTTACCTAACTATAGCTTAAGTGCAATTTTGAGAATCTCACTGTCATTGCTTTAATTTTCGTAGGCTGGAGACTGAGATTTTTGGAGAGAAAAGCAAGTATAATCCAGTTCTTGTCTGTGCTAATAGAAGTCCTGTGGCTTGTGAGGATCAATAGATAATGAACATGAAACCATTTTAAAAAAATCCACGAGATATGTATTCTTTACACTGGCTCTATCTAGCTTCATGAGGAATAAGATGTTCTGAATACGTTAATGTTCCAGATAAAGGGTACCTAACCCTCTGGTGACCAAAATCTCGGAATGTTTACATTTTACTTCATAGAATGTCTTCTTCCCTTCTTGAATAGAACACTCCAAGCACAATTTAACCTTCTCTTGGTGACTGAAGGACATAATTTATAAGGATGTGTTACTGTGTTGGACTGTAAAATAATACTGTCCTTAATGGGTGGGTGTAGGGTCTCAGACTGCTCCAGTTCCAAAATGCTCCAAGGCTATAGTTCTACCGAGCTGGGCAAGGGGGGGCGGTCTGTTCTCTCTCAAGGACTATTAACATTTGCAGGGCTGCCAGCCCCCATGCTAAACAACCATGCCCTGTTGCAGCCTCCTGAGTGGTGGCTCTGCAGCTTCCTCTTGGGGTTCTTTCTGTTCTCAGCGGATGTTTTCAACACTTGTTCCATGGATTGCTTCTGCCTTTCTCCCTCTTCCTCTTGCTCCTCCTCACTGCACTTATTGCTCTTACCTCCCCACTTCTTGACTCTAATTTAGGAACATGGGATTGGCCAGTTAAATGGGTTTGGGGATAGTATAACATGGAGATTAGGGATAGAGGCTATGGATTCACGTTGCTTGGGTTTAATCCTGGATCCTCCATTTTCACCTGTAAGAACTGAGGTAGTTTCCTCATCTGTACCTCAGTTTTCTTCTCTATAAAACAGAGATATAAATAGCACCTAGCTCATAGGGTTGTTGTGAGCATCGAATGAACTATCCACCAAAGGCTCCATGTATTGAGCCTGCCATGGAGGTTGGTTACTGTTAATGCTATCATTGGGACAGTGAATTTCGTGGAGCTCTGAGAGTTTTTTGGATGCCATTGGAAGGTTGGTTTAATCAGAAGTCTGACTGATGAGTAAGTGGGAGTTTTGTTGCATTCTTGTGGTGACTTGTATGTTATTGTCCCGACTGATCAAGATGCTGACTCAAAACTGAAACCACTGCCACCATGTGGTAGCCAATAAGAGCCTGATTCCAGATTTTGTCACTGCATGGACCCAGGGCAGCCCATGCAGAGTGGCCAGCCCTTTTGACTGATTAGGAGGCCTCCTCAAACCAGGAAGGGGAGATGACTACCCATAGACACTTCTCTGTCTGTGCAGAGGGTGTGCCCAACAGCCCAGGAAGCCTTGGGAGATGTTCCATCAGCAATTCCAGGGCTGTGAGGAGCAGACTACTACTCTGGGATGGGGTCAGGGAGGAGGTGCTGGGGCAGGTGTCCTGCAGAGACCAATGTATGGACTCCAGAGCTCACAGTTCTGAAGTCTGAAAGCCTTAGTGTTCCTGTTTAGAGTCAATTCATTACTAATGCCAGGGTTTGGGCTAGATGTTTTTACACATGCGATCTCAATGGGACTGAGTTGGTCCGAGACATGGTCTTCAAAACAACTTTTCTCTCACATCAGCAGCTGCTGCCATTTAACTTCTCTGCCAGGAAGACAACTTTCCTGGGCGGGGGGCAAGAATGACTGTGAGTAGGTACCCTGTTTGAGGAGGGGCCTTCAATGGCCAGTGCTGATTCTCCATTTTGTATTCCTTTGGGTGGGGGAATTTCACTTGCTTAGATTTGTTCCTAATCTCTGGGGGAAGAGAGTAGAATCACTTTTTTTTTTTTTTTAAAGGTTCAGAGCTCTAGCTTGTGTTACAGTTCAAGTTCATTCAACGTATAGCCAATGGATGGTGATGGGAAGATGGGGTCCAGGCTCTGCCTGAGTTCTGGTCCTTGTTCTAATACTTAGAAGCACAATGACATCACATGAGCCATTTACCTCCGGGCTCACTTTCCTCATCTTTAAAAGGAAAAGGCTGAGGATTTTATGCAATAATTCCAGTTATGATAGGCACCAAGTAAACAATAATCATTATCATGATAGCACCATTATTGAACACCTAGTATATGCCAAGTATTTTACACAAATGATCTCACTCTGTTATCACAACAACCTATGAGTTATTATTATCTTCATTTTTTTTGATGGCTAACTAAAGTTTAAAAGGGTGAAGTTGCCCAACTCTGTGCATCCAGCAAGTGCAGAGCTGGGATATCCAAATTTGTCTCGAGTGGGAGTGATGAAGTTGGTTTTTTCAATGCTTTGATTCACATATAAACACAGGAGCATTTTCTTGTGTTGGAACACAAAATTGAAAACCTTTATACCTTCCAGGCAGCTAACCAGGGGCTTATATTGTCCTGTTCATCATGTTCTGTTATGTTTATCCCTGATGGAAGACACTAGTTTCCTGTGTGGCCTTACCTTGGCAAAAGGCATGGTGTCATCAAAGTCTCTAACAGGCCACCCACCATGGAAAGGAGTGAGGGTGGGAGCAGATTCTTCCCTTCACCAAAGCCCAAAGACTAAACCTGATGCTCCTATAGGACATTAGGCTATGGCAGGAGACAGGAGGAGCTGTTCCCAGTTTATGTACTTAGTAAAAATTAAATGCAATCGTTCCTGTCATGCCTGACTTTCTCCTAGCATTACTGTCCCTGGAGACATAGGAAAGGCTATTCAAAGCAGGGCAGAGATAGATTGTCCCCCTCCCCCTTGTAGCAAAGGTAGCAGAAGAGGTCACCCATGAGCAGGTCACCAGGAGCATTTAGGTGTTAGGCCTTGGCCTGGCTGGTGTGGACTTGTGAAGAAGAAGGTAGGTTGAGGAAAGGGCCAGTGAGTCTCTGTGGTGTCAAGGTGGCCATCCCCAGGGCAGCTTGATGCCCCGACCATATGTTATTTCTACCACTTTTTAACTTCATCGGAGCAAAGGCTGAAATTAGGCAAGCTTTATACTTGTAGCCAAGTAGATAAATTTAAAGGAAAGTATATTCCATTTCCTCTCTTTGCAAATAATCTATGGCTTTGAACAGCTAAGCGCCATTTCCATTCAGAAAAAGGGCATATGAGACACGGACTGCAGAGTCTGTGAATTAGAATCAAAGACAATTTTATTTTTAGTTTGTGTTGGTTTACTTATATTTTAAATCAAACTCTTGTTACCCCAGTCCATTCAACAGATGGCATAAAAGCTATCCGAAATCTTTCTGTTAGCCTGCCACAATGGTAATCTGGCAAGTACCTACTGGCAAGGCAATCCCAACTGCCAAACCCTTTCGACTCAGGGCTCTCACCATGCAGCTCCTCAGGTAGAAGGAGAAATGTCCTGCCTACCTGAATAGCTGTTTGAGGGTGGGAGGGGCTTGGATGAGCTAGCAGGAGGCAGGCGGGCCTAAGAAGCTCCTCGTGAAGCCCAAACCAATGGATTAATCCTTGTGCATTTGATTCCTCTCCAGCCAGGCCAAGGACCCTCACTTCAAGGCTCCCGAGGTAGCCTCGTATCCCAGGTTCATCAGAGCCAGAAAAAAGAATAAAGCCAGGAAGAGCAGAAAGAGTAAGTAAAATAAAATCAAGACCTTTTTCCTTGGTCCTGCTTACCCGCTAAGAACACCGAGAACCAAGTTAAGTACAAAAAATGACCCTATGATGATTAGTGTAACAAAATAGATCCAGGGCCAGTCCCTTCCTACGGCATCATTGACCTGGAAGAACGGAATGATAGTTAGTGAGGCGCACTCAGCAGCCGAGCACGGCCAAGTGCCCGTCACCGGCTCCCGGACACTGACCCAAGCCGGCCCGGGACCCGGGGAGCCTCTAGGTGCAAATCAGAGGTCAAATGGCCTGCCCAGCCAATGGGTCAAAACCTGTGGTTGAATGGGGACTTTTTTTTTTAATTTTTTTTTATTTTTCTGGTTTTCCTGGCCTGTTAGGATCCCATCCCTGAGGACCCTGGTGATGGATACAGTGGGACCTGGGACCTTGCTCGGCTGCATTGTAAAGAGTACATAGAAACAGTCAGCTTACCCGCTCAACACACCGAGAACCAGATTTAGAACGAAAAAGGATCCAAAGATGACCAGACTGACAAAATACACCCAGGGTAACTCATAGCCCATAGCGTCCTGCATCTGGAAAGATGAAGGCAGGTTAGGAAAGAGAGAGCAGAATGAGTTAAAGTGAGGAGGCAGGCAGGAAGGGTGTGGACAGAACTGGAGGAGACCAGGGAGGCTGAACCGGGATCCACTGTCATCTCTGGCACCCTCGATATTCAAAATACTTCCCCATGACCCTGATCTGAACCACAAGGGACCTTTGCGGGCTCTGAATTCTGGCTCTGTTGTTTTATTTTCCGGAACCAGAAAACTTTCTTCAACGTTTTCACTTGTCTAATAAGGTGGATTACCTAAAAAAGTGATTTTTTCAGCCTAGGGTGGTTTCAGCTCAGTTGGGTTTATGTGGCATGAAATCTTCCACTGCACCCTGGAGCAGCCTAACCTTGGTGTCAGGAGGGCCTCGACTCTTCCTGAAGGAACCAGACACCCAGAACATTTGAGGATGCGTGAGGAAGGAGAGCCCTTCCCGGGGGGCTTTCCTGAGCTGGACCTGGAATTTAGAAGCAAAACTGCAGTGCTTCACAAGCACTCCGGGCCACAGCCCAGGAAGGACGGTTGTTTTGGTTACTTTTGCAGAGAACAGTTCCTGTCCCGCAACCGCTTTTCCTGTAGCCTGGAGACTGTGACCAGTACCTAACTGGGTAACGGAGAGAGCCTCTGACAGGTGGCAAACCCCTGCAGTCGCTGGAGGCAGTGGTGTGCTGGACCTGGCTCCTCCGGGCTTTGGAGAACCACCGCACATCTCTTCCCTTGTTCGTGTTCAGCGATGTCACTAGGGTAGCCCGAAAATGGCCATGGTGGAGCAGAGTGGGCAAATGACAGAGATCAGCCCCCCTTTGTCCTTTGCCCCTAAGAACTGGTGGTTAAACATATACCAGCGCACAGCTGGCTGGAGGGTAGGTGTAAACATGACGTGAAGTCACAGAGCAGCATTTTTTATCAAATAGGAAATTTGTTCTGGTTTAGTTTCTCAAATCTATTTCTTTTAATGCTTTCCAACTAGACGAAACAGGATTTAGTCATATCTTTCTAAAATGAACCCCAACTTTGTCTCTGTGAAATTGCCTTACAGGAATCCAAATTCCTAATATACAAGCTTCCCGAATGATTGACATTAGTGGAGTGTGGCCTTGACCTGTTTAGAAATGCACATGCTCGGCCTTCCCTGAAACTCTGCGGGTGGGTCCAACAACCCATGTTTTAGCAAGTCCTACAGCGAGTCTGATGTATGCTAAAGTTTGAGAACCAATGATTTACACCATTCTGCATAGCTCTCAACTTCAAATACAAGGACACAACAAATACTGTGATTCACTACCTGTCTCTGCTTTGTTGCATGGCAGTTTTCATTAAAGTGTGGTCTGAAGACCAGCAGCATCCGAATCATCTGGAAGAATTGTTAACAACGCAGATCCCTGGGCCATTGCTCCCAAATCAGTGAGCCTCATGACTCTGCGTGTTAATCACCCAGGGTATTCTAAAGCCAGGGGCCTCAGGTGAGTTACACGTGGGCTGGGATAGTACCCCCCTCAGCCCTCAGGGCTTCTCAGGCTCCAAGAAACCTTACCCATGTGCCTGAGGATGCTGGACAAATACTATGTTCTCTGTGTGCTGGGGGTAAAAAAGATCGAGAAGTACTGGGAGACCTACTTAGTTGGACTGGTCTGAAGTGTTACATCCCGATATGTTCTTTTCAAATCTAATACTATTTATCTGGCATCACTATATTTTGGTTAGAGGAATCTACCAAATGTGGCACAGAGCACAAAAACTGTGTTCAGGGCTTGGGGACGTTGGTTTGAACTGAGTCACTGAGCAAAAGAAGAGTTCCCAATGTATGTCTACTTTACCATGTCATAATTCAATTCAATTCAACATGAATTTATTGAGCATTCCCATTCTCACATAGTCTGCTGTTTTTCACATGGTGCTTATCACTTTTTAACTGTATCATTTATTCATTTATTATGTGTTTGTCTTCCATGTAGAATGTAAGCTCCCTGAGGACAGGCAGTTTTGGTCTGGTTTGTTCACTGGTATATCCCAAGTGCCAAAAACAATGCCTCATGCATGGCAGGTACTCAGTGAACGTTGAATGAATGCATGAACTTGATATGTGCCAGGCACTGTGCTATAAATAGGAAGCCCTTGTTAGCATGGGGACAGATAAATAAAAGGCAACTACAATGTGAGGTGGTAAACGAAGTTGTAGGAATAAACATGGAGGGTTCTAGAAGTGTTGGGGGAAGAGTGGCTGTCTGAGGCTTGGAGAAGCAAGCAAGTGCCAGACCAGGGAGGAATGGCTAAATCTTGCACCATGAGGCCACTGAAGGCAGGAGTGTAGGGGCAGGAAGGAAGCCCAGAGGCCATGTGGTCCTGGGATGGGAGTGGGGGTTTCCTAGGAAGTTGGCAATTATTAAAAATAGAGCCCACAGCTGAAAAGCCATCCTGGCTCTGGAATGGAGGCTTTTTCCCGGTGGCTGAGGACTAAAATATCCAGTAAAACAGTGGTTGTTAGGAGAGGCAGGGCAGAAAGGTCTGTGTGTGTCGGACCTTGCCCCATCACAGGGAGCTTGGGAGCCTCCTTTAACCAGAAATTTACTGTCTGAAGCAAGGCTACAAAGGAAACCAAACCAGCAGAGGAAAGTCCAGTAACCACCCAGGAGGAGAAAAAGAAATCTGTACCCTTATAAGAAGGGGCGGGACTGGTGAAATGAGGTTAGGGGGGAGAAAGGCACAGGCATGATGGCCATCTTGCCAACCATAGGCCACATAATGATTGTTAAGGATGGCCATGTGAGTCCAGGGTCTGTACGTCACATTTTATCTTGGGGGACAACGACAGAAGCCTTTCACTATTCTTTTCTTTTTTTTTTTTAAAGATTTTATTTATTTATTTGATAGAGACACAGTGAGAGAGGAAACACAAGCAGGGGGAGTGGGAGAGGGAGAAGCAGGCCTCCCGCGGAGCAGGGAGCCCGATGCGGGGCTCGATCTCAGGACCCCGGGAGCATGACCTGAGCCGAAGGCGGACGCTTAACGGCTGAGCCACCCAGGCACTCGCCTTTCACTATTATTAGCAGTGGTCTCGTTGGAGTCCACACTGGTTCCACGGTACTTCCGGAGTGACTACTGTGTGTAAGACACTGTGTTCTGTGCCAGTGAGAGTGATGGGGTTGAAACAGCTGTGGGATAGGAGAAGGCATCTGTGAGGAGGTGTTTATGGAAGCAGGATCCAAAGCCATGAAGCCTCTAAGTGTCCTAGCTTTTCCTTTCTCAGATTAAGTCCAGCCAGTGAAGGTCAGAGTCCTCTCCTCTTCCCTAAGTTAGGGAGGGTGGGGAGGTCAGGAAGAGCTGACGGAAGCTGTGGACTCCCACATGAGAAAAGGTGCACACCCATGGCACTCTGCATACAACCCCGTGGGTGCATGGACCCCGTGTTTCTGACCAACCAGATGCTCTGTGCTAATCCCAGAAGGGCTTTTCCCAAGAGTGGCAGAGGGGGCCTGTTCTTGTGAGTTCTCCTGCTTTGCCCCGGATCTCAGACCTCCTTACTTTCCTCAGAACAGAAGGGAACAGGTAGTTGCAGGAGGCAATGGCACACTTGCTGCAGTTCACCCGCCCAGAGCTGCCTCTGGAGCCCAGGCAGATGGTGAGTGGGTGCGAGGGCTGGCTGGCACTAAACCAACCTCCTTGGAATGAAATATCTCCTGACTGGTTCCTCATAACCCTAAATTTGTGAACATTTAACCTCACAGAAAATACAGTTCCCCGAGCCACATGTCTCTCACAAGTCAACAAACCCATGGACCTTGAAGATTTCCTTGGGCCCTTATTCAGTTAGGGTGTCCTTTCCTTTGTGTCACAGGTGAGTGACTTCCAGCATCATTAAGGACCTCAAATGAATGGAACTACAAGCCATATTGCCCAGAGATAGCCCATAGAGAGCCTTGTGATAACCTCATGACCCATAAATATCTCATTGATATCATGATAACCTCATGCCCCACAGATATCCCATTGATATCCTCATGATAACCTCATGCCCCACAGATATCCCATTGATATCCTCATGATAACCTCATGACCCATAGATACTTTCTATAGATATCCCATAGAGAGCCAGGGCCATATCCAGGAGACTCATGGTCTCAACCTCTCCCTTGTCCTATGCTTCTGCTTTGGTCTCTTCCTTGCTGTGAGACAGTTCTTTCAAAGGTTTAAGATGCAGAATAGCAGGTGAGGGGCAGGAGGTAGGAAGATAGATGGGAGATTAACGAGCTTCCAAGGTGTTCCTAAGACCCCATCACTTCCTCAGCAAGCAATGCTTGGCAGCCCTTCGTGGGTGATTCTCTGGTCTGTCTGACTCTGGCCTGAGAGGAAAGTGCCCCCTTTCGTTTTCTCTTTTACTTTCTCCTCTTTATTCTGGGCCACCTACTTTTGGGGGCAGACTGGGTAGACAGCATACAATGCTGGGTGACTCTGAAGTAGGGCAATGCCTGGAGTGATGAGATTGATGTCTTAAATCAGCTGGAATGGAGCTATTAAGAAGAAAGAGAATAAATAAAGACATATTTTTAAAAAATGAC